TCCAACAGTGCAACATCATGTGGGTGTGTGTGACTCAGGCAGAGAGAGGAGGAGCTGCAGGCGAGAAGAAGATGACACTCAAATTGCCTCAGAGTTTCTCTGACAATTTCTGTCTACGTCGCCCTTTCCCTCCTGATTCATTGACGCTCATCTTGGTTTCGTACAGCTGCTGACACGCTCCAGTTTCACCCCCGTGTCTCGCCAAATTAAAGCCAAAAAAAGTAAACCAATGTATCAGACAACATATACAGTAGAGGCAACACATCACACAGGCACCATCCAGAGAAGAGGGGGTGAACTGTTGCATCCAGCTCATAAAGCAGACATCCAGTGAAGGAGAGTTTTTTTTTTTAATAGCTGGTGAACATCAGTGACTGTGCATGTGTCTGTGTGTGAGACAGACAGACAAAGCGTCTGGGGCCATGCGGCATCTGGGTCAGGCCAGAAAATAATCAACACAACTGTATATCTTTGTTTTAACATGCCATTAAGGGACGAGGTGCACAGTTTACATGCTGAATGTTTCTGTCTTATTTCACTGCCATTGAGAAATTTAAGCACAGCCAATTAAACAGGTGTCCCCTAAAACGGCTCAGCAGGACGACGTTCTGCACTGTTCTCAGGCGGTCTGCCAGGAAAACTGAGACAATCAGCTGAAAGATGCTATAGCACACTCCATAGAGCTGTTGATTCAGAGACAATTCTCTAATTATGCAACTGTTTACTGAAAAAATAGGAAAGTGTTTCTCTCTCTCTCTGCTTGATTTAAATCACTGCTTTCACTATAAACAATAAAAAGCCTCAGACTACATTACAGTTTTCTTATTTATACTAAAATAAATCTTCCTAAGATGCAGAGAAAAAAAAACAGTTCTTTTTTGGTTGTACCAATGCTCGTGTTCACTACTTTCACATTAGTGATGTGAAACGATGTTTCTTCTCTGTACATGTAAATAAAGGCGCTCTGAAACAAACCACAGAGGCTGCTGGAACTCACCACATCTGCTTCCGGATTTGTGACATCATTGCTGATGTCAGACTGAGAGCCGATGGAACTGAGGTAGCTCCGTCTCTTCAGACCATCTCTGTGACACACACCTGGAAACACACACACACACACACAAGCCCTAAAGCCCTGATGTAAAGAAAGGATCCTGTGCACATGTTGTTTTCAGACCCAAACTGTGCTTGAAAGTAAAACTGATGTCGACATTAAGATGTGGACTGTGTAGGTTTTATTTCTTATTCTGAGGAAATCAACCTGAGTCAGTAGAATTCATAATGTGGCGGTGGACACAGACAACCAAACCTGGTAAATCTGGCTGTGCTTGGTCAGGAGGAGGAGACGTGGTGTTGGGGGTGTAAAGATACAGTAGCAACCACAAAAAAAAAAAAACTATGTTAAAATATAAAGATTCCCTGAAGAGAAATGTTTCTTCCTGACTATTCAGATTTTTTTTTTCCTCCTCTTACCCGTTTTGGCACTGAAATATGATGAGTCAGCATCATCATGGGACACAGAGCGTCCAATATCAACCGAGGGGTCCCACTCCAACCCCATGTGCTCATGGGTTGGAGAGGGTGGGTTAACTGACTGACTGGCATCTGGAGGAAATGGAGAAACAGAGCTTTAATATTTATCACTTGTTGCACATCAATGATTGCCTATTAGCCTTTGTTAAATGTTTGATATGTTGGTTTACCTGGATGGTTTGAAACCACAGGGAGGTCGAGGTTGGGTTTATCAGGCGCTCCCTCTTCCTCTAACAGAGACTCTGAAGGACAACCGGAGTCTGTAGCCTGAGAGAGAATCCAGTCATCCTCAAACACCTGCAGGAAGAGGAGGATTCAGGAGAAGCAGCAAAACCAGTGGACACAATGTGAGTGTTGTTTTGGGTTTGACACGTAATGCATAATTAAAGCAACATGGCAAATTTGATACCAAGGTCCTTTACTTAAGTAGTAATACCACAAACTAATCCACTACAAGTCCTACATGCCAACACTTAACAATACAAAGGTACTACTAGCAAATAAATGTGAACTATCAAGGGTGAAAGTACTGTTCTGCTACTTTCCACCGCCGCTGACACAAAGCTCTCTACTGTTTGAAGCAAAGTCGAGGCACAAGTTTAAACTCTTGGTGTTTATTTTTTGCACAATGAAATAATCCTGATAAAAGACAACCAATAATAAAGCTAAAACGATTTGTACAAGGTGCTCAAACAGAATCGTCCCTAATACAAGCTCAGATTCAATTAAATGTAACTAAACATGAGCCTCCGACAGAGCCGGTGTTTTAACGGTTGAAGAAAGTAGAAGTACTGAGTGGAGAAATGTTTTGATAGGAGCACGGCACCAATCTGATATGTAGAGGTGTGTTTAGTCCTCATGGAGAGCAGTGCTCAGCCTGTGGAAACAGCTGTACGGTGTCTGTTGAAGCCCCAGAAGCACATCGTTGATCACTGCACTGATTATCATGGCGACGGGACCCTGTTCAAGCTGCTCACCATACCACAACTAGTCCTGCTGCAATTTTCTGATATGGTATTAGTTAGGGCAAGCAGTTGAGCTTAAAATCATTCCTATATGTGTATATGCATGGCTTGTAGTCTCTGAAAGCAATTAGGTTTGTACAAGAAGTCTATACAACTATCTGCCTTTGTGTGAACACTCCCCAGAGCAACCCTCAAACATCTGTGTGTACTCGCTGACATTCATCTGATCCATTAGACTGTGTGTGCGTGTACCAGTCTCATGCTGAGCAGCCGGGTGTGTGTTCGTGCGATGTTGCTGTAGATGTTGTTGCAGCGGCGCAGCAGCTCCAGCAGCCGGCTCTCTACGTGCTGAGCATCAGTCGGCTCGCAGCGTTGAATCAACGCCTCACCATGCTGCAGAAGGGCGTTTACACGGTCCGAGTTCACACACACACACTGCTGGAAGGACTGCGCACACACACACACACACAAGCAGGCAGAGGGTAAATATATATATGAGGGAGGAAGAAAGATCATAAGGCATAACACACACACACACACACACACACACACACACACACACACACACACACACCTGGAGTCGTCTCAGCTTTTCACAGGTATTCCCATTTAGGTGCTCCACCTCTGTCAGGCGGACGTCCAGGTCAGCCAACAAGAGTGCAAGCTCCTCCCTCTCTGCCTCAAACTCCTCCCACTGTGAAACAAAGAGCTGCCAGAGAAAAGACATCGTCCGTCCTCCGTTTATTCACTTTACTGAGGAACATCAAGTCTTGCTGGGTTTGTAAATGTGTCTGTAACAATTCAGAAGTTAAATCATCAAGCTTGACACGTCTTTTGTCTAAATTATCACGCTTTTCATCATCAGACCACATAAGCCAAGCAGTAAAACTGTCATTCAAGTTAAAACCTTTTGGATTATAAATGGATTTTACTAAATGTTTTTACTATTTGGCATGAAAGATTGTACTTCCCTGAATATCGGCCTGTGATTTACAGGTTCAAGTGTGTATGTTAATGAAAGGAGCTAAATACTACCCACTGTTGACTAAAAACATGTCGCCAAATTAAATTTAAATACAATTTGAATACAAATATGTCCGCTTTTAAACACATGACAATAAATGAGCAAACTTTGGATTCTGGAGTGAGGCAGGGTGTCACCCGATTCCAACTTTATTCAACAAGTAAAAGCTACTTAGCATTTATTGTAGCAACCAGGGGTTGCCAACATCTGTTCTTACTCTATACATTCC